AGGGGTCGCTATGAGTCGGGGCCGACTCGACGGCACATAACAACAACCCAACATACACAGACACACACACATACATATATATATGTGTGTGTGTCTGTGTATATATGTATATGTATATATATGAGTCGGGGCCGACTTGATGGCACATAACAACAACAGCAACAACATATATATGTACGTGTATATATATGTGTGTGTGTGTGTGTGTACACATATACACCCACTGCCGTGGAGTCATTTCCGATTCATAGTGCCCCCATAGGGTTTCTAAAGCTGTAAATTATGGAAGTAGACTGCCTTGTCTTTCTCCTGTGGAGCTGCTGGTGGGTTCAAACCACTGATCTTAACAGTTCAAAAATTCGAACAGTTGAAACCTTAGCAGCACAATGCCTTAACCACAGTGCCACCAGAGCTCCATACATATTCCCCAGTGCAATATGTTGTCTGATATATATATATATATATATATATATATATCAGTAAAATCTAAATACTTAAAAGTGACTCAACAACAGATTTATTTTTCCAGTTAAAAATGCTTTTTGATAGAAAGTATGTGTACATGATAAAATGTTCAAACCATCAGTATCTACAGGGAAAGTATGAAGGAAGTATGACTGAGTCTCTCTCTTTTCCCAACTTTTTTTCTCAGAGGTAGCACCTAAACTATAGTATTTGCAGCTAAATCTTGTTACCCTAATCTGAGAGACATTTTCTTGGTTATCCACCTACTCACCTTTGTATTTATGTTATTGGTTTGTGTATATGTGTACACACAAACATGCACAAATATACACCTCATAGTTTTCAGTTGTCTGGATGCCACCTATACAATTCACATGGTAAAGTATAGGCTTTCGGGTCTCACAGCTTGAGTTCAAAGCTCAGCCGTGCTATTTGTTAACTGTGGGACTCTGGTAAAGTTATCTTAAAGATCTATGCCCTTTTTTGCTGTTCTATAAACTAGATAATAATAGTTCTTCATTGATAGTGTTGTTGTGAAGATTGAATTAGTTTGAAAAATTCATGACACATACATGTTAGCTCTCTAGCATTCCTAGGCTTGGTCTCTGCTTTGGAACATTCTTCAGTTCAGCTCTGTCAGTTCTTGTGGTGTCTTGTCTATGAAGGAAGTATGACTGAGCCAGACCACTGTGCTGGTGTGCCAGTTATTTTTCTCCCAAAGAAATGAAATTCTATATTTTGTTGAAAATACTTTTTGATACAAAGTAGAAAACAAAACAAAACAAAAAGTGTTTTCCCCCT